CTGCTAATCGGGAGTTGACGTACGGTGGAGAGATGTTGTCATGTGACCCGAGGTCCCGGCCGGGCATGTGGCCGTACTGAGAGCCGTCAGCGTAATTCTGCAGGGGTCAGAGGTCAAAGGTCAAACAACCCTTCTAGACCAGACACGTGGATAAATCATGAATTAAAATGACACAAATGTATATGTATAAAAGCCTATTTACTAAGCCTATACATGGTAATACTATGAATTAAATTAAAATTCAATAAATATATAAAGGGTATATAAAATATAAAATAATACTTAAATTACATTATATTTGATATTATTTAAGTGTTTCATGGCACAAACAATAAAGAGAGGGAAAGTCCATGTATTTTAAAGAGAAAAATGTGAAATAAAAATGGTTCAATAACATCATAAATTAAAATGACAATAAATAATATAGTATAGTATAATAATAGCTAAATTTCCCATAAATAGTGAAGTGTTTATTAAAGTGTGGCCCTATTTAAACAAATAATATGCATGGATATACATGGATAAATATTCAATTAAAATGACAATAAACATATAAAAGTTAATACATAATAAACAAATAATATAACATATAATCAGACAGAAATATATATATATATATGGCCTAATAGACAGATATTTGGTGTTTAATGGCACAAACAACAACGAGAGTTAAGTATTTTAAAGAGGAAAAATATAAATTATATTATATATATAGTTAATAATACAGTCAATCTTATTGTGCACAATGTGATGACATCACAAATCCCCTTTCTGTCTTTCTCTCGATCCTGTCCAGCCTTGCATTTTTAATAATGAATATTCATAACTGGCATGAATTAAATGAGTTCGCAGGTCACATGCTCATGAATTAGCGTCAGTCCTGTGTGTGGCTTTCAAAGGAGATTTCAAGGTAAATTAGTGTTAAAAAACAGGAGTGTGTCGCGACACCTACAACCCTTCACTGTCATCCCGGTGTAAATGCTGTTTATTCCCCTTTAACTGCGATCGGACTCGCATCCCGGGTCACTGGAAATAAAGTGCGTTGACGTTCCGGCTCCGGAAAGTTCACGGGATGTTTTCCATAAGATTTGAATTGATTTGCATTCGGTGGACGTGTGGATCTGAGAGTGTGAAAGTGCTCCGTAAGCAAGTCCTTGATTCCCCTCTGCACACCTGACACTAGCACACACACTTCTCCACCTCAGGACCCTATCAGAGTCACCTTTGACCTCTCAGACCACGCCGGCCGAGCAGAATCCAGAACCTAGAGAGACGACTGTATAGATGCAAAGGCTACAGCGAGGACACAATCCCACAATGCACTGCAACTGCATCAAAATGCAAGAATGCTCATCCAAGGTGGCAGATGAGAAACACTATTAGTATTAAAAGCTTAAATTTCATTTATTTGTGTACAATGTCAATAAAAACTATTACTTTCATGACAATTAAACGCATTTAAATCCCCAATTTTTGATCACTGGATTGAATTGTACTTTTCCAATGAATACTTTTTAAATTAATTTGACTTTATCCAATGAATATAATATATAATGTAATATAGTATAATATAATAATAAATTAATTAAATAATTTAAATTAATAAAAAAAGTATACATTACCGTTATCAAAATATCATTACAACGAGAATTTAGTAGTAAATGAAAAAGGGTTGTTTTTCTAATTTAAATTATTATTTAGTAATTTTTAAAATCAAAATAAATTAAAGTAATAATTCACTCAGATTTATCAATATCAATAAAAAAACATTAAAAATGTTTCATCCAATATTTATCCAATTAATTTCTAATATTATTAAAAATATTGTATATATATATATATATATATATGTGTGTGTGTGTATATATATATGTGTGTGTATATATATATATATGTGTGTGTGTATATATATATATATATATATATATATATATATAGCGTAAAGTAAAGAACTAATTCATTTAAATACATATATCATAAATAATTTTTTGGGGTAAAACAAAAGGTTTGTTTTTCTAATTTCTTTTTTTTATTTACTAATTTTTGTGATTTTTCAAATCAGAATAAATTAAAGGAATATTTAACTCAAATTAAATATTATTTATTACTGAACAATATATCAATATATCATAAAGAATTTTTTGGGGTAAAACAAAAGGTTTGTTTTTCTAATTTCTATTTTTTTATTTACTAATTTTTGTGATTTTTTAAATCAGAATAAATTAAAGGAATATTTAACTCAAATTAACATCAATATATCATAAATAATTTTTTTGGGTAAAACAAAAGGTTTGTTTTTCTAATTTCTATTTTTTTATTTACTAATTTTTGTGATTTTTCAAATCAGAATAAATTAAAGGAATATTTAACTCAAATTAAATATTATTTATTACTGAACAATATATCAATATATCAAAGAATTTTTTTGGGTAAAACAAAAGGTTTGTTTTTCTAATTTCTATTTTTTTATTTACTAATTTTTGTGATTTTTCAAATCAGAATAAATTAAAGGAATATTTAACTCAAATTAAATATTATTTATTACTGAACAACGTCAATACAAAAAAAACTAACTATTTCACCATATAATTTGTGCACCACATGCAAATTATGCTAAACCGAGTAATCATGAGTTGAGAAGCAAGTTAACATCAAACTCTATTGGCATCAGTTGTGAGTCCAAACGAGTCCAACTTTGACATTAGGATGTTTCCAGTCCATGTTTCACGTGTCCGAGGTTTGAACACTCAAACCAAAAGCGTTTATAAATATGTAAAAACTTACTTTAGTGGGACGAACTCCATTTCCCCAAGACGAACTCGCTCTTTCTTCCAAATCTACAGAGAAAAACAGAAAACAACTCATTTTAGTCATCTATCGATTCATAAATCCTGTTCAAATCTGCATTGAAATGAAAAACGAGTGTCCTAATTAAATAAAAACCGCAGCCATTCAGACATATTTCCCACAATCCCGCTGTGATGAAGGCCGGTGACACAACAGTGATGTTTACATGCAGCCGAGGCGTTTGTGCAGGTCTAATCCTAATGACGCTCGGGGAAACAATGCGACAATGTACACTTTATAAAGGCCGTAATTAACGACGCGCGAGGCTTTACATTGTTTCTGGCTCTTTTTTTCCTCGCTTTATTGAATCGCCCACCGCGAAAAAAACCTCTTCAACACATTCTCTCCCACTCACAATGAGAGCTCAATCAAAACACACTTCCCTCCTCGAGAAACTTCCCTTCAAAGCGGCGCCGCATGAAAGACGCATTCTTTGTCAAGACGTTCATTTCTGGTAAAGTCAACAGCGGATAAAAGCGGCGTACGGGCCTTCGTGACTTACAGACACACACACACACAGCTTTAAAAGCAGCAGATCTGTCATCGAGAGGACACACACACACTCATCGGCTCATGACATTCAAACACCGGTTGAAAAGGAGAGATTCGTAATAATCCCAAACTATCGCTAGGAATGAATGAAAGAGCGTCCAGGTCACGTTTCAGCTCCAAACAGCAGGAAAAAAGACATTGCTTAAATAAATAAAAGCGTATTTTAAGAACCATTAAGATTTATTACATTCATAGCAATTGAAAACATTTAAATCACTGTTATACAGAAGTTTTACTCAGGTTTGTTTTTCTAATGCCTATTATTTATTCATTTAAAAAAACAGAATAAATTAAAGGGGTAATTTGCTCAAACAAACAAATATCTATATATATATACACACACACATACATAAAACTAAAGGAGTAACTCACTCAAAAATAGACATTGGCACACATTAAAGAACTAAATTGATTGAAATAAATATCCAATTTCAATGAGAATTTGTGTTTAATTGTCATGAAAAAATTACATAATTTCCACATAATTTCCTGTCAGTCGCTGGATATGAGGTCACACAAACACACACACACACTCTCTCTCACACACACACTCTCTCTCACACACACACTCTCTCTCTCTCTCACACACACACACACACACACACACACACACACACACACACACACTCTCACACACACAATCACACATACACACACACACACACTCACTCTCTCTCTCTCTCTCTCTCTCTCTCTCTCTCTCTCTCTCTCTCTCTCTCTCTCTCTCTCTCTCTCTCTCACACACACACACACACACTCTTCCAGAAGGGTCTTCTCGCTAAAAGCCAGTTCAGGTGAGACATAATGAATTTATTTCACTCTCTCTCTCTCTCTCTCTCTCACACACACACACACACACACATCCATTATTTATCAGACTTTCTGTTACTCTCTCTGTAATTTATTACTCTGAATCTCTCTCCTTATCAGCTACTGCCCACACATTCCCTTACAGACACACACACACACACACACACACACACCTTTCACCTCTCAAACCTCTCCTTGCACCTGGGGTCTCACTGCCTAAGGCCAGAACAGACCAATAGAACCATATAACACACACACACACACACAGAGAGAGAGAGAGAGAGAGAGAGAGAGAGAGAGAGAGAGAGAGAGAGAGAGAGAGAGAGAGAGAGAGAGAGAGAGAAATTGCTTCTCCATCTTAGTGCAGACGGATGGATTGGGGGAGAAGTGATGAAAAAGAGAAATATGAAAAGATCTGTCTGTGTGTGTGTGTGTGTGTGTGTTTCAGTCAGGGTCTGAAATGACTCATTTATACACCAAACATTAGCACATTAGCGTGAGGTCAAACCACAATATTTCCAGCCAGAGGAAAGATAAAATCACACATTAAATCTCATTCATATCTCAAGCGTTTCTCCTGGATAGCAATGACACCAAATGAAGACTCTCGCCAAAGTCTCCGGCTTCCTCTAAGAAACACACTCCAGTCACTCCAACACACTCCAGTAACCTCACATGTGTCTCATACACCAAATTATCATCAGTGTGGAGATTTCCAGAAGAGTCAGAAATCTCAATATAAGATCTGAGATCTACTAACGAGTCGTCAGTAACTCCAGTCGTCTTCCTCCTGAACCTGTGTAGGATTGTAACTCATTTGCATAATGCCAGTCTCTGGTTTTCATTGGCTGAACAGCGTCTCTTAGCTCCGCCCTCAAACACTAGTGTATCTGAGACTGGGAGAGTTTGGTTCGTGTTGTTCGTGTCGAGAAGACGCTGTTTTCTGCTGACAAAGCAAATCCACTGTGATGAGATTGATACGGTAAAACCCACGCCATCGTTACTGTTCGTATCACTGTGATCAAGAGCTGAGAGTCAGATATGATAATAGGCATTTAGTTTCTGACCAATCACAGCACACTGGGCCGTCTGACCAATCAGAGCAGAGCGGCTCTCAGAGAGGCGGGGTTTAGAGAGACTGAATCTTCAAACGAAGCGTTTCAGACGCTGTGAGAAAAGAGCAGTGGATATTATGAGGAAATTAAAGTGTGTTTTGATCTTTGACGCATGTAAAGCTATTGTAGAAACTCCGGAACAATATCAGAAGTCTTTGAAATAGCATAATAGTGCACTTTAAGGGAAACGTCAGAGATAAAGTTGATACTACAATAAAAACGCAATTGAGAACTCAAAGAGAAACCTTTGAGCAATAGCATGTCTTCTAGGCAGTTTGAGTTTAATGTGCCTCATTAGCATGACAGATAACATAGCTTAGCTGGTTTAGTTCACAATGAAAATGCTGCACAGTCTGTTCAGAAACACAGTTCGAAACCTCTCAGAACCAGCGTTCACTGGGATTTATTTCAAGGAAGAAATGCAGCAGTTTGTTATTAAAGACGGTACCAAACAGAACTGAACTAATCAGATGAAAAACACTCCTAACAAACTAGTCTACAACTAAACAGTGAGACACTAACACTGGCCTTGTAGTAAAAACTAAATAAAAGGTCAATATTGACATCACAGCAGCCCAGAACATGCTGGAATATTGTTTTATTAGGAATATTTACTTGAAGCTTAAATATTGTATTGTATCTAATATTGTTTGAAGAATGTGTGTGTGTGTGTGTGTGTGTGTGTGTGTGTGTGTGTGTGTGTGTGTGTGTGTGTGTGCGCGCGTCCGGCCCCTCGTCAGCATCTAATGAAGTTACAGTGACAGATGAGTGTGTGTGTGTCTTTCACAGATGAAATTAAAGCTCCTGACACAAAACAGACTCATATTAATAGTGTTACGTGTGCTGTGAGACTCAAACAGAGCCTCTCTCTCTCTCTCTCATCCCTCTATCCCTCCTTTCATCTGTCGCTCTCTCTGGCCTTCAACTCAGAAAACAAGAGGAAAAGAGGCCAGATGAGAGAATAAAACATTTAGACATTAGCTAGTGTTCACTGTAGACAGAAATAAAGAATATATACTTAAAAATAAAACAACATGTAAACATTATTTAGTCTCTGTTATTGCATTAAAACATAAGCTGCATTTGCGGTAGTCTGTCTTATTATAGTCGCATAATGACAAGGATTTTTATACTGTACAAACTGTACATTCTCTCCCCTTACACTAACCCTACCCATCACACAAAACGTTCTGCATTTATTTATATATTTTCAAAAGAACATCACTTAGTGTGATAATATAAGCTGTTTTCCTCATGGGGATGAAAAAATGTCCCCACAAGGAGAAGGATTTCAGATATTGCCATCTTTGTGGGGACATAATGTCGAGTTTACCAGGTCACACACACACACACACACACACACAGTGACAGTGGGTCATTAAAACAGACCTCGGCTGTCAGCTGGACTCCCACATGTCAGTCTATCAGACGACCCATAAACCCCTGCTCTGATCCAGGACCACCACTGACCTCATGAGCTTAATTACAAAGCTGTCACACACACAGACGGACGGACGGACGGACAGATGTATAGATGGATGGATGAATGGATGGATGTATAGACAGATGGATGAATGGTTGGATGGATGTATGGATGTCTAGATTGATGGATGGATGTATAGATTGATGTATGGATGTATAGATGGATGCATGTATAGATGGATGGATGGATGGATGATATATGGATGTATAGATTAATGGATGATGTATAGATGGATGTATGGATGTATAGACAGATGGATGAATGGTCGGGTGGATGATGGATGTATAGATTGATGGATGGATGGATGATAGATGGATGGATGATAGATGGATGATAGATGGATAGATGGTTGGATGGATGTATAGATTGATGTATGGATGTATATATTGATGTATGGTAGGGCTGCAACGATTAGTCGACGTTGTCGACAACGTCGACAATAAAAATTTGTCGACAAATATCTTTGTTGTCGAGTAGTCGTTTGATCTCACGTGACCTAATGTAAGGGCCTGCAATCCCGCGATTTGACCGCTACGGCGCTGTAGCGCTAGAGTGTAGTGCAGCCCTTACAAATGCTATTGCGGTAGAAGAGAAAACAGCGCGAATTATGACAGTGCAAACGAATCCGAACTAGCAAGGTTTAGGTTTGGGAAAGTTTCACAAAACTTCAAATCAAGAATGCTGTCGTGTGCAATTTTCACGGGAGCACAACATGCATGTTGGAGTGCAAGAGGAAACATCCCGGCAAAAGAGGAGCCGGTGAGAAGTGAGTGTTCTCCAGCTGGAGCTTACTAACCAGCGGTAAATCTCTCTTTATTAGAGAATGCAATACTACTAATAATAGTAATAATATTATCAATAGTAATATAATTACAGTAATGTGATGACTTATTTTGTATAGAATAAAGCTTGATCGAGCTTAGAAGTCAGGGCTGTTTTTATTATTGTAACACTATTAGTATATTAGGTATTATTATAGTCTTATCACTTGCCTGTATTTTGTTCAATAATCATGAAGACTTACAAAACG